TGTACTATTAATATTAAATAATAATTTATCTTACGTATAAATTATGGATGGAAAAAAATGATAATAGTTAAAAAATTTTAAATGTACTAGAAAAATTATTTTATAGTTATTTTATGTAACGAAAAATTAACATATCTTTCTATTATTTAAAGTTTGAAGACTAATTACTTAAAAATTCCATTAATCGGTCAGATATTATACAAAAAGTTGCAGTTATAAAATCAACAAAAAAAAAGCATTTAAATTATTAATTTATAATGTTCTTTTATATGTTATTATTATTTATGTATATATTGATAATCTATTTTGTTATTTATAATAGCAATTATTAAAACTCACAAGTGTAATTTAAGAATAATTTTTCCCAAAAACTGAACCTATACTAACAACTCTTTTGTATAAATAAATTATTTTTAGTAATGAAGCATGATAACAGCTATAATGTTTGTTTCAAATTGAATGGCAAATAATTGCGCCCCAATTTTGGGGGGGGGGGTAATTTCTTTAGGTGCGGCAGTATAGTTTAATGCGACACTGCTGCTACTGCTTGACAAAACCAACACTGCGAATTATATGAACACTATAACCCCTACCAACACTATATACTCGGTAATTGGTAATTACCAAATGTTTGGTATTTGGTAATTAATTTTTGTTAATGTGCACTGGCCTTGTGCTACCCGCTGTATTATAATTGAACCGGTCATTTCAAAAACGATATAGTCACCGATTTTTCAAAAATCACTTTTTGTCAAATTTGACAATTATAATATAATAATATTATAATTGTAATAATAATAATACACTAATAAGTATAATAATATACTTAGTTAGGTACGTATTCTGTGTGAAAACTAAATTTGTCATACAGAATCACTGGAAAAACTAGTTATGAAGTTATTTGTGTTTTTCGTGGCTAGTGTATAATTTCAAATTTTGTGAGACTTGTGTCGTTTTTTAAACGACCGATTCAATTATTGTCGTGTTTTTATTTAATGTGTGTGTGTGTCTTTTAAGTCCACTTTACCTGAACGAACACGAAGCACCCAGTTTTATCGATCAACGGTGACAATGTTCGGCAATGAAGTCTGCTTGCGCAACTGCTGCTCGGTGGCGGTCGTTGTAAGTATAAATCCACAGTAACCCTTTTTCAAAGCGGTTAAACTTGCATCACTTTTACACTATTAAAATATACACACAATGTACACACGACGAACGCCCCGAGTATTCGACCCCTTCCCGTAAGGGAGGAGAAATCAAGACTACCCGCAAGACCACCACCCAAGTCTGCTGATCGACCTACAAAAGTATATGTACGGGCATGAAGGTCTACGCTAGCGCTTCGGCCCAGTGTACATAAACGGTGAGCGCTTGCTCAACTTTAAAAAAACTTTTCAACACTTTTCCCTTGTCCCCTTTTCAAAAAAAAAAATGATCGTCATTTACTTTCAGAACGAGGCGCGTTTGTAATAATTATAATATGTCTACCACCGGTACACTAAAAATACATCATTTACATACACATAATAGCTATAAAAAATGGGTAATACCGCCTACCGCGAGTGTCGTACAAGTGAGTCCAGAGTTGCAAAGTAAAAACAGTTTAAAAAAAAAATACAAAAAAACCGTTTCAAACTGTTTTTAATATAATTTAAATTAATGTTTTAAACGTGCACAGGGGAAAACCAGCAGTCACTTTTTAAAAGTGGCAATTTTTTTTGTTATAAAATTCGTTTTGATTATCAAAACGAATCTGTTCTTTAACTTTTGAGTACGATTATAAAAAAAATATACAATATTTTTAAAAAGTTTTAAGTATTTCTTTAACGTTTTAAAACATATTTTAGCATTAGATACTTAAACATGTTTTTCTTAGATTAGAAAAAAGTGACTGCTGGTTTTTTCCCTGTGCCGCCCTTCGTGTTAAAAACATTGTGTTTTTTTTATTTAAAACGTTTTAAACTGATTTTAATAAAATTTAATATACGATATAATTATGTAGAAATTGTATATATATATATTACATATTTACTAAGTACTTGCCAATTCCGGATGATTCTTTTTTTAATTCTAGTCGACTATTTAATTATATATCTGCTCTTTAGTAATAAACAGTAATTACATAAATGTAAATAGTTCTACTCTTTACAGACTTCAGAGCAAACTCTTGGGCACATTTTTTAGTTTTAAGTTTTAACTACACTTGAGGTGATTTCTATACAATGATTGTAGTACAATCTACTATGTAGACTATTATATAATTGTTTAATTTTAAGGTATTCAGTAATCAGTATAGTGTGTATTATGTATACATACAAATAACACACAATATTTGATATTAATTATTATATTATACCTTGAAATCTGAAATCTGTATGTTTCAACAAAACACAAATTAATTACTTAAATTAAAACACCGCTTACGTGATGATAATAACCCGCTGTAACAGTGTAGCCAGCATATAATTATAATTTTCACATATTTATATTATCATAGACTTATTATGACATATTATAATAATAATAATATTATCATTACTAAATACTGCTAAAAAATATAAAAATAATATTTAAAACAATACCGTTTTAAAAAAATGTTGTTTAACACACTTTGCAACTAGACCTATACATTTTAAGAATTGCTAAAAATTGTGTACATGCTTATCTTCAAACCATTAGATATAGAATATTGGAAAACTATAAAATCTGAACAGAGTATAGGGCAGAATGGGGGAATTCCAGTCAGTGGGAAATACCGGTCAATGGTCAATATCTCTTCAAATATCACAGCTAAAATAATTTAGATTTCCACCAAAAGATAATTATCAATTGTTTTATCACTTGTAACATTTTTCTGAATAATAAAACTCATTTCAAATTGAGAATTTCTAATTTTTTTACTATATCGACTGTTTCTAATATTAATCACAAACTGGCAAGGATCGCATTTATTTGCTTATAATATACCGATAATATTACAGCTTTTAAGTTGATACATGTATTTAAAAAAAAAGGTCTGATAGTGGTAATAACTTATGTAATGACCTTACCTGAGTAACCTGACTAATATTTCCATTAAATATACAATGTCTTTGGAAAATATTGTACAATAGGTCTGTGGTGAGAATCCGAAAATCCGGATTTTTCAAAAAAACGCTATTTGAGCCACTTGAAAATCGTATAAATATTAAATACTATTACAATACAAAGATGTGTAGGTACGTAAGTAAAATTTGTTGATAAAAACTCTTAATTTTATCTATAAAATGCTTTGGGATTTTAAACAAATCCGAAATCCAAAAGCAATATGGCCATTTTGGTGATTTGTTTTATTTTTACATATTTTTTAAAAACGATTTTACATAGGTACACGGCTTTATAATGTAAAATTATATGGTTTTTAAGTAGTTTGAATAGCGTTTTTTCGGATTCCCATCACTATAGTGTCTGTGTACAACGACAACATGATAATTTCCATGTTTTTTAGGAACTTAAATTTTTCCCTATCATTTTACATGTGTTTTTTTGGTCAAATTTAATCCGTGTAATAATCCATCTTCACGGATTGTGGTGAAATTTTTTTTTAATATGCTAAATTCGTTGCTGTTTAAAAACGTCTCCAGCAGATGGCGACACAGTGGAACATACAATTATTTAACGTCGACCGTTTTCCGGTTGGCGCCACATCCGGTGGTTTTTTTTTCAAGACCTAAGTTTACTCCTGTTACGTAGGCAAAATCAATACTTCCTTGCTTCTGTACATAGACCATTCCCTGGTAAGACACTCATAATGAATCATCTTTTTGACAGTCTCACGGTCTTGACCGCAACTCGGACATTGTTAACCCTCTCCTTCGGGGCGCGTTACCCGTTTTTTGATGGTTCTGAAGTTTTCATTCAAACAAAAACAATTTTTTTTTAAATTACACCAGCTGCAGTTTATTAATTTTATTATTCAAGTAATAAACCTACTCTAAACGGTGAAGGATAAAACAAAAATTACTTTCAATAGTACAACGCAGACCAGACATTTTGGAATTTTAAATTAAGTACCTACATAAATGCAAAACCTTAATTTTAGGATTCCCTGTAGAGCCGGTCAGCTCTGTTAACTTGACAGTGATTTTCTTACTTAACCATTGAGCTAAGAACAACCTGCACACAAATGTCAACAATGTAGTCAAAATAATGTATCACAGTTACTTCCTGTACCCAACTAAAGCTGTTGTATTTATGTTAACCAATCATTGTTTACAATGCTGTTGGGGTTATCTAAACTATTTAATTATTAAGAACTTAAGTGATAATTTACTTATTACAATGTTAGTTCACATCGTGCTACGTACAATAAACAATAATAACATTTTACAATAATACTCATAGGTGAATAAGCTAAACCGAAGGTTTTGGAATGGGAGTTCAAATTCAAAATAGCAAACATTTTTATTGGCAAACACTGTATGATAGCAAAACTTTTTAGAAAAACCTAAAAATCGTCACTCGTGTTATTTTTACTTTTCGCCGCCACTCTGTTTCTGATTAACTAAAAATTTGTGTACTAATTAAATTTACCTTAGTAATGTGTGTTTGTAAATATAATCATAAAACATTCATCAACATTTCTATAAATATATTTATATTTACAGAGCACATTCTGTACGCGTAATCTCTATATTAATTAAAAGATACACATTTTTTTTTTGAAATACAAATATATATATATATATATATAATAAAAAATACATAAATTTTAACTCGTCTTGTTTTTACATTAAAAAATATAAATATATTACATACATATACAGATACAAAGTAAATGATTATCTAATATTATCACTGTAAAAATTCTATTACAAAAAAAGAAAAAAAAAAATAATAATAATGTAATTTTAAACATATTTGCTCTTATCATTTTTCACAGTCTTATAACAACAATTAAGTCGTTTACACATATATATTATATATATATATAAAAAAGAAATAATATTAATTTTTCTTAAAAAAAAAAATACTTGTTTACATAAAGCACCAACATATTTACACAATCGAGTAATGTTGGCTTGTAAAAAAAAAAAGAAAGTATTAGAACGGTAAATAATTTTTATCTCGATGGCGTTTTCAACGTCATAAAATTAAAGTAGATATATTTAAGATAAATCTATGTTTGCTTATATTTAAAATATAGATATGTACATAAATTCAGCACAGAAATCATGCTAATAGTTATAATAATTATGTTTAAGATCAGTCACGGAGAAGATAACTGCACAACCATCAACACGTTATTTCTAAAATATATCAATTTTATTAATACGGAACATGTTAAAATAATTAATACTTCTCTACAATTAATACACTTACCGTTTAGAATGGTTACTCCTATTCGGCGTACACGATAAAATGTTGATGGTCGACTTCAGGTATTTCAACATTAACGTATTGTTGGTTAATGTCGTCTTGTACTTGGTTTATTGACCTATTCGAACTAGGCCTCGGTCGTGACATGTGTCGGCTACGATATTAAATAATAATAATAATGAAACACTTTGAGCACAATTCTAAATTATATAAATAAATACATACTTTGCTTTGGCATGTGTTAAGATGTGCGATTTTAAATTAGTAGATTGTGCAAACTTTTTGTTGCAAGCGTCAAATGGACAAACGTACGGTCGATCGCCCGTGTGTATCCTAACGTGTGTTCTAAGGTTGAAATCCAACGAGAATCTCTTGCCGCATCCTTCGAATGTACACTGAAAAATCATTTTTAAAATGCTTTTTAGCAATACTTCCAGTACCACCTTTGAGCAAAATAACGAGCAAAATATATTCACCTGGAAAGGTTTTTCTCCCGTATGGACTAACTGATGGCGTTTAAGTTTTGAACTTTCGACAAACGCCTTTCCGCATTCAGCGCAAACGTGTACACGAGGTCCGTGCGTGTGTAGATGTTTGCGCATCGCCGAATTATCACGAAACATTTTTGAGCAGTTTTTATTCGGACAAGCAATAGTTCGGTCCATCATCTCTTGACCGTAAGATTTTTTAACTTTCGTTTTGTGTCCGGGTCTAAAAAAATAAGTAGGTACACGTCATTCAACATTTATCCAGTTTTGTAATATTTTCAAAACTAATTTAAAGAGAATATCACACCAACAAAAAAAAAATTGTTTAATTACTTTTTGTCAATTATTCAAATGGGAAATTTGAATTTCATTAAACCTCCCAGAGATAACAAAATATGGTGTAATATTTGTTTGTTAAGAGAATAATTATAATATATAACTAGTACCTAGCAAAGTCGGCTAGTTGTTTGGGATCGCTGAGGTTAATTTGAGGAATTTCTTCAGTAACAGTCTGTTCGGTCATGTATTCTTCATAATCGGGATCAGGATCCGGTTCCGGATTGCTTACCTCTTCTAAAATGTAATCTGTATTATGAAACACGATTACGATAAATCAGGTTCAAGTCGGGTACACCATATTTGCTCTTTATCACAACAAGTAAAAACCAATATTTACCATCGTCGGTTCCGGACGCCCACATCGTTACGGAAAATTCTCCTTCCAGCGTTCTGATTTGTACTTGTTTCTGTTCCCACTTCCTGGGTCGGCCGATCGCAACCGGTTCGGGCGGCGACGGAACGGTTTGCACCAGAAAATGGTCTTCGACATTTTCTTTTTTAAACCTGTTTTCGAACAAGCAAAAATCGAAAATTATAAAAAACAGTTTGAACACAAGTACGAACACTGTGTATTGAAATTCGAAAAAACATAGAAAGTCAATCCTAGCCAAATTTGTTCTTCAGTCAGTGTTTCGTGCCACTGGCACAAAGGCCATGAAAAAAAGAACACAGTTTAACCATGGAAATCTAATGGAACACATTTTGCACAGAACCAGTTGCACTCAAGTCACCATCATCAAGATTGTACATGATCGTACATTCTCTCTGGGGTTCTCTTGCAGAGACACGGTTGACAGAGTGTAGCGTACAAGAACGTTATTGTGGCATTTGACCAATAGGATACCCCTGCTGCTGCTTTACCTGTTTCTGGACGGTCCTGGACTTTCGGGTTCGGCGTACAGTTCCTGCGGGATGACACTCTCGTACACGTAGGTGAGCTGACCGTCTTCGTGGTCCTGATGCTGGCCGCCGCCGCCGATGGTGGTCGCTTGCAGGAGCATTGCGTTTTCGTTCTTCACCAGGCCTCCTCCTTGGACGGGCGCCATGATCAGGTGCCGGCCGTTTTGGTCGACCACAGTGGTTTCTACAATTTCGCACGGCATCTCCACAGGTATGTGCTCCAACTTAACGGCGTCCAAGTCCGGTTTCATGTAATCTGCCGGCGACGCCATTTTGTTTGTTATTGTTTATACAAAAAAAAAATATGTCGCACGCACGTCCGAGCGACTTACGCGCGAGAAAAAATGGCGACCGCGGTGCGCGCGCGAAGGTGGACGACGGGTAGGTGAACGACGCCATTTAACGGGCGGCGTAACAAAGGTGACGGGCGCGGCGGGTGGCGGCGGCGTGCAGTGTGGCCAACGGTAGACTGTGCAACGCGGCCGGCTCAATCGAGGGGACCGATCACGTTTCCATTATCAACGTGTCAAACGCTGATAACGCGGCGGTCCGTGTGATAACGCGATTGTTTTCACAAATATCGCGACTCGTAAAAATTTAACAATAATATAATAATATTTACTATTACATTATTTCGTTTACGTGTTGTATTTATTTTATCCAGTTCAAATAATACGGACGACGCTTGTTGTTAAATGTCCTCCCCGTTAATTGTGTTACACGTAGTCGTCCAACGGTATTGTTACATTGCGAAAATCATTATGAAATTTTAGCCAAACAGTTAACATATTGTGTGCGAATATTGTTGAGAAAAAACAAAAAAATCTGTTATTATGGACGAATCTACATTCCTCATATTGCTGTCCATAGTAATGCTAGTTGCTAGCTATTTCGCCGGCAATCTTCCATTAGTAATGCCCATGTCGGAGGTAAGTTGTTAAATAATATCATTTACAATATATTTTATACAATGGGTTACGTTTTCAGACCAAATTAGAACTCGTGTCAATATTTGGAGCTGGTCTACTAGTTGGTACCGCTTTGGCTGTGATAATACCTGAAGGAATCCATGCTCTATACTCTTCCGTTATGCCACACAAAAGTCAGTATTATATTCCTACATATATTGTAAATTATAAGGTATAAAAATTAAAAATATGTGTTATGTGGAACATAATCTATCTGCAATTTAATGGTTTCTATTCAGGTCTATATAATATGTACGACTTTCAAAATAGCGTGTTTAACTAACACTCGAAGAAACTATAAAAAATGGAAAGACCATTTTTTTGTATTTACAACAAATATACAAATATTTTATTAGTTTTATTGCGTAGTGCCTTAAAAACAATTGTTTTTCTAAATTTTTATGTTTAATCACCCATTTTACTAGATAACAATATTGGTTATTACAGATGACAATTTAAAGTTATCAAATCTAGCCGATAAAAAACACAACATTCAATTTAAATAATAATAATAACAATTAATAGTTCTGAAATGAGGTTCGTGAACTGGTTATCTAGGTGTATAATATAAAAAAAATTACTAAATTACTAATTCTCATTGTTCAGTAAATCAACTAGAATAGGTAATTAAATGTTGTTAATTGTTTTATACACTGTACACATATCGTTAACAATTACTCAACAAGCCTATAATAATTACTCTCGCACAATAATCGCTCGTTAATTAATAACTACACAAAATAAACAATTAATTAACTTTTTTAACGATTTTTTAGCTGCGGAAAATATTACAGTAGAAGTGGATTTAAACAATGTGAATTTCCATTCAATAATAGGAATAACATTAGTGCTCGGGTTTACGCTTATGTTACTCATTGACCAATTATCGACTAAGTACACGAAAGGTAAAATGTTACATGTTTACAATAAAAAAATAGAAACGAAAAGGTTTTTGGTTTTCATTTAAGACATCGAAGGTGGCATTTATCATCGTAATTCCGGTAGCATGACGGCCACTCTGGGTCTCGTGGTGCACGCGGCCGCCGACGGTATCGCACTCGGCGCTGCTGCCGCTTCGACTCACACCGAAGTCGAAATGATCGTGTTCATAGCGATCATGTTGCACAAAGCGCCGGCCGCGTTCGGATTGGTCACCATTCTGTTGCACCAAGGATTGGACAAGAAACGAATACGAAAACATCTAATCGTCTTCTCCATGGCAGCTCCGGTCGCAGCGATTCTTACGTTTTTCTGCATCGGACAGGTTCGTGATGATACGTTTTAAAAAAAAATAATAATACATTTAATTTTTGATTTTCAGGAAGGAAAAGAAACGCTGTCGTCGATGAACGCCACCGGAGCGGCCATGTTGTTTAGCGCGGGAACATTTTTGTACGTCGCCACCGTGCACGTACTTCCCGAACTCATGGTGAAAGCATCGCGGGACGGGAGCGATACGTTCAACGCTTACCAGCTTCTCTGCTTGGTTTGTGGAACGTTGACGCCTTTGATGTTGTCGGTCGATCATCACGGACATTAAGTATTTTTTCCAAAAGGACGAATTTGTCGTTTCCGTCGGTCGGTTGTTGAGGACCTATTTTTTTTTCCATTAGGTTGCCTTTTATTTTGTTTGCCAGTTTTATTATAATAAGACATTTGTAACGCTCGTAATCTTAACAGTGAGTTGTACATCTTTAAAATTTGAGAGTTCGGGCCACACCATTGCGTAGTCCGATACATATAATTATGATTATTTAATGAATTACTATATACATATCATGAAATTATAGTTTGGTTTCCTCGGATTATGTATTCCATTTAATTAATTAATTATAATAATGACATGTGTATATATAACCATAAAAAAAGAAAAAACAAAAAGAGTACAACCGATTGTATTAATTATTTTTATTTCATATTGTTATTTTTATATATACTATAGATTTTTTATCATTACTATTTAGTTTTTAGTCGTTTAAGAAAATTTGATGGTGTAAATGTTATTAAAAAAATGTAAAACTTAACTAAACATTTTTTTGATAAATAGTATTATTTTAAATAAATTAAGGCTGTGTTGAAAGAGACGTCAATAGTAACAACAATCTTTCTTGTTATACTTTTCAAAATAATTAGTAATTAGAATATTATAAGTTTAAAAAAAAGAAAAAACAATAAATGCATTTATACATATTACAGTTATTATAATTAGTCTTCCGCTTCCAAATTGATGTTGTTTCCAAATTTAGCATACAAATGTGATTTCAAATCGCTCATGGTAGAAGAAGTTTCGGCAATTTTCGACTCGATGTCCTTCATCTCTTTTTGGACAGTTATTTTTAGTTTTTCAATGTTGTTCTATACACATTTTTAATAATACTCGAATTATTATTGATAGAAAATTATGAATATTCAAAATTCAAATGTTCACCTGAGTAGTTTCAAGATTGTAGTAAACAAATGTTTCCCCTGTAAGGTAGGGTAGATTTGGACAATCGTCTTCGTCCAACAACACCAATTCCTCAGCTGCATCTTCCAAATTCTTCAACGTGGTCTAAACATAAAGTAAATCATTTTTGGTTTTGTAATAACCGATAGCCCCATTAAAAATTCCAAAATAGCTCTGAAGAACTGCCGTAATGACAAAAGCATAAAATAAATCTACATTATAATATGTGAGCCTAATATTTTTTCTTATTAAAAGCATACATTTCCAGTTGTTTATAATTTTCAGGTTACATTCAAACTTACTTGTTTTGATCTCAATTCGTCTCGGTATTCTTCAACACGAGCATTGAGTCTAGCAAACTTATTAATTTTCTGTTGGTCTTCAAACGTGATATGAACATCAGAGTCCTATGTAAGTGATAAAAAGTATTATTTTTCATTATTTTAGTTGTAACCAATTATTGTCATTGTTTTTTGGTTCCATCTTCAAAGATGATCAATTTATCGCTGGTGAGGTTAAACTATCCATGAGAGCGTTGACCGATTCACAATATTAAACACTTTCTGTAAGTCATCAAATTAATTTCTAAAAACTTACCGGTTGAAAAGTTCCTTTAGAGACAGCGGGTGAAGCCATTTTAATAGCTTGTTATTATAGGCAGATACAAGAATGTATATTTGAGTTTATTGACCAACTGAAAGCTTGCATAAGAATTCCAGACGGATTTTATGGTTATTACTTTTTATTAATAACACTAGCAATGACCGATTTTTTGCTTATTAAAAGTTAAAACTGAAAAATGTTCGGTAACAATGTGTTTTTACTTAAGAGTTTGATAATGTGTCTAACAAAATTGATAATAGAGATCGGCCAAGGAAAACTAAAAATAAAATTGATAAGAAGAACTGATAAAGTTATCACAGCATCTGATATGAGATTATAAGAAAGATGTTTTGTTTAAATTTGAATCATAATAAATAAGTTAACGAACTAAAATACATTTTTTTTAAATCTTTAACTTGATTATCCTAATATTAATTTTACCCTACAGTAAATTTCATAATATTTCTTTAGGGCGCAATGTAAACTTACCCATCATAACACGTTATGTTATATTTTGAGTCGTTCATTGTAAAAAGTGGTGTAACTCTACGTTTTTAAAATATTATTCATATTTTTGCTTAATGTAGTCACATTTAGCATATGTTTTTCATTGTTTCAACGCCACATGGAGATAATTAACTTTTACAATGAACCACACATTTTTTACCTGTACAATTTTTGTTTTAAACTTGATACCTACCTGTAGGCATATACAGATTGGAACTGTTTCTCACATTGCTATTATTTGCTTCCATTAATGTTCATGTCGGACAAATTTAGTTAAAATGAAAATTTTTAATTCCAAAAATGATAGGCAACATACAAAAAATATTTATCTATATAGTAGAACCGAATATTTACAATGTATTACATTAATGAAAACATAGGAACTCTACATAGGACTCGAACCTACCTGTTTTTTTTATAATATTCAATATGATTTCTAATCCATAGACTATAGTCTGTAAAATATGTGTTGAGAAGAGATCAGCGATAAAGAACTTTATTGTGAATTTATTGATGCGCAAATAAGTGACTAATATTAGAGGAGGAACCTTGGAGTTAAGAGTTAAGTAGTAGGTACCAAGATAAATAACTTGGATGAACTTTTGATAAACTTTAAAAACAGTAAATAGGTGGTACACGTTCGAAAAGTCTACTTTACTTTCCATCTTTAATATATACCATTATTTATATTACTATCATAGCAATCACAGGCAAGTGGACTGTTTGGAATTATCCTTTGTTGCATGCTATATAATTATAGCCTGAGAACAACACTGAACACAAGTTACCAAGTATAATGTTACAAGTAAATGTCATTGGATACACGCAATGTATACATAACACGCATTAAAATAATAATATTAGTATTTTTTTTTTTACAACTACAGACTACTAAGGGCACACAGCTATTACGATAATATTCTACTATGTGACCATTGAATAGGAAATATAAAAAAACCAATAAAGTTCAATAGAATATAATATAGACTATTGTATTTCTACAAATTAATATCTTTCTACTTTGTTTCATATTAACAAATACATTGGTAACATCCAGTTCATCATTATGGGTACCTTATCTTGTAATGGAGTATATTATTTTTTATTAATTTATTACTACTATTTAAAACTAAAAAAAATGATTGATTGTTAAGAATATTGCTGGACCCACGATATCTCCTAAACAGCTAAACTGATTTTTTCATATAAAAAGTCTATTGAGCAGAAATCATTCCTGAAAGGTACTTTGTTTTAAGTCAAAAATAATGAAGGGATCGTCTATTTCCCTTGACCCCTTCAATATATTAAAATATGTTATAATAATAATAATTGTTTTAATTAATTAATATTTTGTATTAAAAAACAGTAATTGTTATTTGGTTTTAAGTCAAATATTTATTGTTAGATTAAATGTTTGGAAAAATAGAGATTAAAAAAAAAGTTCTTTAGTCGAATGACAAAATATGTTTTCAAATCGAAAGTCTTTGTACAATGTCTCTAATTTTTTGTTGATTTATTTTTTGAGTGTAAAAAACGACTTTTTCGTTTCCTTTGATGTAATTTTGATCACTTCGGTTGGTCTAGTGGAATTAATTACCGTGTGAGATTAAAAAGTTATTTTAATAAACCATAAACTAGTTTTCCGCTTCGAGCATAATTTATTATTTTGAAATATCCTTTAAATAAAATGTTTGTCCCAGGTAAGAGATCTGGTTATTACATTTTATTGAACTCAAATGAACATAACAAGCTCTGCCAACTCGTTGGCAAATCTATAATTAGTAAATATGTTTTTACAATTTTTCAAACAAATTCGTTGTGCAAGTTTGTAGTTGCTTGTATAAATGATGCAATATAATATTATACACTTACACTTCATTAATATATTGTTTTTTAGTAGAAATTTACGAAATGGAACTCAACATCTATATATAATTCTTTCTGAATATTAAAAATGGTCGAAATAGATAAATAGTGTATACAATTTGCACAACAATCATATTTTTGAACTGTGATTAAATAAATTGTGTTGCATTTGGCGGTTTATTTTTAATTTTAAGTACAATTAGGTAAGAATGTTCTATGTGAAGAACACACCTAATATATAGCAAAAGTCCAAGACATAAAAGTGCATCTTTTTTTAGACAAAATGTGTGTTCGAATTCAACATTGGAATTTAACACATTGTACACACATATTGTTTTTAATGATTATATTATATCTTGTGATAAACGGAACAACGCAACAGACTGTTCCAATTACAAAACAACGTGTTTGAAAATAGGAGTTCAAAAAAAATCAACATACCTACGCAGTTTTAATTATTTATTATCCGCATAATATTATTTACTATACACACATTATGCGATGGCTTCAGAAAAAGATAATATGGATATGAAATTTCATACCGCAAACGACCTCTTTGTGTGTTATCGTGTAAAGGTAAACAAAACGTTATTGAAATACAAGAGTACACCTATGTGTATTAAATAATAGTATTATTTTTTTATTATATAATATCTTGTAGTATATTATTATATAGTATCGCTCGTGTCTACAATATAGTATTATACACCTATGTATTATTATTATTTTTTTTTTTTAACAATACGCCTATATTATTGCGTCTTATTCCAGTAGGTACTATACAATAACTTACTTACTATAATATATCCACCGTGAGTCATGTGTAACACAAGTATTTCAAAGGAAATAATAATATAATTATTATTAATTGTATATTATTATGTACGGGCGTGACGACGAGCTTTGCTCATGACACACCACAATGGACATTTTTTTGTTTTCTCGCTGTAGGTACGTTTTTATTTTGACCGTTTGAACTTTAACGCCAACTACATATGTTACCAGATACCAGGTACCAGTCGGAATTGCAAAATGTTTTAAACATATGTTTTTAACGTTTTAAGTTTACTATATAATTACATTTATTTCATAATTTTCACAATACTTTAATAATATGTTATAAATGTATTTACCTATGTTTGTTATTTTTAATTCAGTAATTAATTTATGTTTGTTGAAACATGCAGAATTCAGATTTTAAGGTATAATATAATAATTAATATCAAATATGTATTCATTTTATGTACATGTATAACTAAAAAATGTGCCCAAAGGTCGGCTCTGTAGTCTGTCTGTGTGTAAATTTACCCTATTTTTGGTGTTTGAACAAAAAAAAGTTTGACTACAGATTTTTGAGAAAATTGTATATGTTATAGTTCCATACTAGATCTACCTTCGGTCTAATTTTCAGATCTAAATCTCTAAAACTTTGCTTGAAAAAGTGAAATAAAGAAAAAAAATTCTATCCCTTCTAGGAGAAATGGTTTATTATATTATTTTGGTTTATCAATAGTTTATTATGTTTATCGATAGTACTATGTTTGAAGAACAGTTGGAACATAAATTTGGAACTTTTTCGACTATTTAAAAAAAAAGTTATAGAGCATCGTAATTTTAAGTTGAAAATTTTGTAAAATTTTTTGGCGTTTTTCTCAATTTTAATGGGGAAGGGGTGACTTTTTAAAATGTTTGGCCAAATGAAGTACCTTCTAGGTATGATTTCTGATTTATAGTGTTGCTACATGAAGATATCGTGGGCCCAGACACAAAAATAAAAAAAAATTAAAATTAATAAATAAAAACACATCATTGTAAAACCAATACCTTCTCAGCTCCGCGCCGAAGCTAAAACAATTTAAAACATTAAAAACATAGTATTAAACAAACAAAAAAACGTTATTTTGTACTTTTTTTTTTTTAACTGTTTATTTTGCAAAACTCTGATACTAGATACCAGCTAGTAGGTACCATGTCATTTGTGCGACTCCTTATAGAATATCCCTCTCTCTCTCTCTCTTTCTGCTGCTGCTACTGCTGTTGTATCCTTTGACTGGTCCGGTGTAACTATATTGCTGCACGGTTCCACTTAAACGCGACAATTTAATATCGATTAATTGTCGTCTCCGTGCGTGTCGCGGTAATAATAATGAAAAAAAATTAAAAACCTATTTAATACATTATTATATCTTGGTACAAAAGTACAGAGCGTATATACTTGGCGTGGGATCGGCCAACAACACGGTGGGGGACTTGCACAGAGAGAGAGATAATACAGAATATGGTCCGTCGACCTACTCACACAAGCTTCAAACTGCTTGCACAGTGCACACAGCTATATACACACACACATCTAAGAATACACACGCCACACGTTTGCCAATTTCGTGACTGTGAGAAAATAGAACGACATTGCGCGCGGTTCTTTATACAATATTATAATATATATATTATAAACCTTTATAAATATGTATATAATATCCGTTTAACGCGTATATGTACTTTTCGTGTGAACAGCTGCTTTCGAAATAATGCGGAAAAGTTGTTTTGGTTTTTATTTTGCGCGCAGTTTGTTATTGAGATTCGCCCGGTAAACCCCAATAAACATCTCAAGATACAGAAACCCTCAATATATAAATATATCAACGTTTTTAACCCCATCGTCGCCGTTATACTCAAGGTCACATTGCAGTTCTTCTTTTTTACAAGTGAGTATATGATTTGCATAATATTTTCTTTTTCTGAAAAAAAAAAAATGAAAGAGTTGTAGTTTATATTGAGCGCCTATATCGTTTCGCGAGATTACTATTATTGATAATAAGCGTTAAATTATATTCAATTTATTCCAGTAAAAAAAGGCTTTGGTCGGTTGTGCGTTGATATTATATTAGCTTAGACGAAGGTGTTGTTTTAACTATGTGTGTTTTTTAAAAACATTTTCGTGATTGGACCCACTATATTTTTTTTACTGCCCGACCTATTTCTCCATACAGCAAGTTCTATAATTCCAATAATATTACAGCAATTCCATTTTAATAGGCCAAAAATGAAAAAAAATGCACCCTTTCCTCTTTGAAATCGCGAAAAACACCCTGAAAATGTACAATTAAAATTTCGGCGCGCAATTACTTTTGTAAAAAGTGTACAATTTATTTACTTGTATGGTTTATTTTTTTAAATAAAATGATACCGATATATATATTTACTGTGAAAAAACAAAAAAAAAACATTTTCTCTCGCAGAGCTTGACTTTTTTCTTAATTTTCTTTTTTTTAGTGTAGTTGTGGGACATCACACTGGAAGTAGATATCTAGTGTGGGATTTTTATAACATGGTATTTTTTTTATTAATAAAAACAAAACAAATATATATATATATATATATATATATATATATATAACACTCAAGCATATGAAAGACAGTCAACCGTCAATTACAGCCTAAGGGTATCTGAACAATATTTTCATTATATTGTACTTAAGTTTAACAGTTGACTTGCCTCGCCAAGCGATAATTTATTCTAGCATAAAAAAGTTCCTCATTATTAAATAATAGAGCTATTTTTAAGTAAGAAAAAAAATGTTCTTGTAATTGGTGTCGAATATTTGAAAAGCGTATTTCCTCCATTAAATTAAACGTTAAATAAAAAAAAAAAACCAGTTACTTGATTTTAAAATATCTTTAAAAATCAAGTAACTGGTTTTTTTCACATCGCGTTGATGATCAATTTCAAAGCAATTTTTTTGTCATAAAATTCGTTTTGATACAAAATGAAAATCTGGTCTTTATCTTTAAGCACGATTATAAAAAAAAATTTAACATTTTTTTAAAAGTTTTAAGTATTTCTTTAACATTTTAAAACATTTTTTAGCATTACTTAAACACGTTTTTCTTAGATAAGAAAAAAGTGACTTTGCTGGTTTTTTCCCCGTACCCTTCATATACCTAGCCATTTATTACATATAAATAGTATTCATAAGTGATTTTTAAACTTATTTTGTTTTAATGTTTTTCTCTTTATGTTTTTATGGAGTTTGTTTAACACTTTTATCTTCGTTTTAACTCCTAATGCAATAAGATAAAAAATTATACTTTGTCACTATCCAGGTATTTGTGACGAATGATTGTAAAACTTAATAAGTACAATTAAAATCGACATAATTTTTTTGGAAACGAAAACTATAAAAATTCCTTAATAATATAACTTGTAATTAATATTCAAGTTTTTAGTATAGTAGGCATAGGTACTTAACATAGAGTAAATTTAATTACTATAAATGTTTTATTATCTAGAAAAAAAGGGTTGACACACAATAATATAATTTTTAGCTATGTACTTTTTTTTTTTGTTTTTTTCGTTTCTTGTACCCGGATGCTTTTTAATTTCACATCGGTCAAGTTGTTTTCTAACTGACATTCGTGAGGTGATAACACTACTTTCGGTTTTTACAACAAACCTGTTAGGCTGTTAATGTAAGAAGAATTAAAAAAACCGCTGTCTTATACTCTAAACCCGGTTGTATTTTCCTAGAATACATTTTTATCCTATACAATAACAACGTTGTTAGTTTTCAATCATTAGTCATTGCACAAAAATGTTTAAACAACAATGGTTTTTTTATTTAAGTTTTAATATCAATGTCATTAAACTGCATTTTTTTGTAATCAGTTTAAACTTGAAATCAACATAAAAAGTTTTAGTATTAAGTTCTGGAATTTGGTTGCAAGTTTATTTTATTGATTATTCATGTAAAAAGGTATTTAATTTATTTCCATAACGCTATAGGCGTAAAATGTGGATGGGGGGAGGCTAAGGAATAAAGTTGAAAAGGGTTTCTTTTCGGCATAGATAATAATCCCAAACGAATAATAACAAAGATTTTGAACATTACTTTTCCCATACACTTTTACAAGTTAAAGTAACACCGGTGCTGTGTAAGTTGTGTAACAACACAATTTTTCATTAAAAAAAAGCTTCAGACTTGAATAGTTTTTATAACTGGGTTATATAATAGTAAACATATATTTTTTACTTGGTGTTTTTTTTAAGCAGGCTTGTGTCATTTTTCTAGGTAAGGTAAGGGGGGTAGAGGGGTTTGGATGATGTTTTTGGAACACGTCGAGACGACAACGATAAAAAAAAATACTATTATTTTTGTATTTATAAATATGAACGATGTAATTAGTCTATGGATGCGTAGGTATTTAAACAAATATATAAAATGTATTTTCGGCATGTACACAAGCTTACAGATGTATAAAAATAACAAATTTGAGGGGAGGGGATGGCGGTTATTGAACACTGGCCGGATGTGAAGGCGATCCTACTCTGTCCCCCGCAGAAAAGCACGGTTTTTTAAAGCCTATGCGTAATGCTGGTGACCTAGTATTTAAATTTTAAAAAAAGCAATAAAAATTAAAAAAAACTATTAAATTTGCATAATATTGTGTTAATAACATAACGCGTTGAAATAGTAAAACAACACAAGCCATACGGTACATATAATATGTATTTTCAGAGTTTAGCTTAATGAAAAGTTCATGGTCAAGGTCATAACACTCATGATGACTAATGGAAAGTATTTTGGGAAAATACAAATCCCGGTTATTTATTAGCTACTACGTTTGATTGATATAAATATTATAATGTTATGTTTGGAACACCGTCTTATTAGCATATTTTGTATTTTATTTAAATTTAAATCCAATTATATTGATATACATTTGCCAAACGTTGTGTATAGCCCTAAAATCGTAGAGAAGGATTTTTAACAACTATTTTTTTTTTAAAGAAGTCCAAGTCCACCTGAAACCAAGTTTCAAATTCAATAAAAACTGCTAGTATGTGTGGTCAGAGTTATATATTTAAATATTATATCACAATAATAAGATACAAACATAATATATTATATAAATAATAATATGTATATTATGTCATCCATAACAATTGCGCAGTGTAAGTACTGTGGTTAAAGTAATAATAATTAATGGTGGAAACGTTATTTGCTGCTAAGAAAATGTGAAAAGAAACCCTAAAAAATTTGATCAATTTTCCACTTGTTTGTGGCTGTGCCAGTTTAGTTATTACTTATTAATTTTCTAAAATGAAATACTGTGTCACAAAATTACAATAGCTCTATGTGACAACCTATTCTTGACACCTAATTTATTTTAATCAATTTCCTAGGGCTCTTAGACAGTAGTCGAGTTATGGATAACACTTGTTGTAGAGATTATTTGTTAAAAGCATTACTAGTGTTAATTGCTAATTAGTACTTATTTATATTAAGACACGACGATATTCGGTATTTAAATTTTAACATAATGACGAACACAGATAAGTAAGTACTAATTAGTGATTATTTATTACAATCAACTATTTTGACTAGGTAAACAATAAAAAGTGTTTATTACATTTTATTAAGTACAATATCACTTAGTATACACTTTAGTCGGTTTTTATTTTTTTTTAACGTCGACCGATATTGTGTGCATTTGTATTAATTGGATTAAACGTTTAAGATGTATGATTGATGTTATGTTTTTAAACAAATACCTATTTTAGTTGATTAAATATGCTGTTAAATTATTAGTCGTTAGTCAACACTAAACCTTAAATAATAAGCTCTACATATTTTTAATATATTTCATTTTCCAATTAACACAATATCACTCACATTTTACGGTCTAGGGTTAAATTGATAATTTTTTATACTTTCATCCTATTTAGCAGGTCCTAAACGTTAGGTTAGGCTAGGCTAGGTTAGGTTTGGTTAGGTTAGGTTAGGGTTGGGTAGGTTAGGTTTGTTTAGCATTAGATTCGCAGACTTAATTTCTGTAATCAGGCCTGGACCCAATCCAGGCCTGATTACAGAAATTAAGTCAAAGCTTGTCAGGGAATATTATAATTTTTGGACCACCCCAAAACTATTGAAATTTTCTTTATTTTTGTTTCAGATTTGTGTTTGTAAGCTACCGTAGAATGGAATCGTTTAAAAAGTCAGAGAACCAAGAAGTAGCACTGCCAGGAGAAGTGTTAGAAATATTGGATTCCCAGTTCAACAAAGTTAAGACATTGCACACAACTGATTTAGAAATACTAGCAGCTGAATTGGGCGTCAGAGATATCGACGTCAAGGTAATATTTTTTCAACACTATTCCGTTTTAAATAAAAATACATATTGTTTGTATACATACACAGTACTTAATACAATACCTAATATAATATACAACACGCCTACTTTTAAAAACAGATGCATTTGAAAATGTTTTTCAACCTCTTAAAATGATTGTTTCAATGCAATACTTTAAGACAAATATTTTAGCACTATTTTATACTGTCGAATACATTATGATTTTTTAACGACCATAAATTATTTAATGATCTAAGCTACATACGTCTGATAGTAATTTATTTTGAAGGTATATGTATATGAATTTTAATAGTTATATTTCTTAAATGAACAATGGGTTTAGAATTTTGATGTAAGCAATAAAAATAATATTAGCTTTATTTTACTTGAGGGTTGAACAATAATAATTAAAACACTAAAATATTTCAAAAAGTCATGTTTTTCAATGCAGAACTAATTTTTGTAAAAGTTTTGTTGCACTATTTTTAGTATAGCATTTTACAGCACTGTTTTACATACAGCAATAAAACAATGGTACCAATCAATATTTGTAGGAATAAATGATTATATTGACTATGGACAACACACGTTTTTCCTGACTTTAAAATTAATAAAAACTTTTTTTTATGTTTGTCTGATTCAGGTTTGGTATACCAACCGAATGGCGGCTTGGAGAAGGAGTCAAGGACTCTCAGATTGTTTTGGTCAATTATAACAAAAATAGCAAAATAATTATTGTTTAAGACAATGCTTACTATACTTTATTAGTTGTTAAAAGTGCAAAGTACTATTAGGTACATTTTTTTTGTTGTATTTATTTAGTTGTTATTAACACTTTTGTTTGATTACGTTTTTTTTTATAGTTACCTTTAAAGTTTATAGTTGACATTTTGACTTTTGCACACCAAAAACTTATTTTTTTAAATAAAATAATTTTAAATTGTATTTAAAAATATATAATATTATAAATAAATACCTTTAAGAAATCTAGTATAATTATTGTTGTTTACACTGTGTTACTATAATTACATATTATACAAAGTTGTCTTATAATTTTTTACCAACAATCGTTGTCAACGGATTCAGTTTCAAGCAATTTTACACGATTTTTTGAGATCCATTAAATCTATTTATTAGACTAGAAGTTAGTTTAGTAAAAAATAATTTACGTTGAATTGATATGTTTAAAATCTTAAAATACTAAACACCCTAATTAGAGGTCAAATTTCTAGTGTAATAAAAAATGGTTGATGAATATTTATAGAATTTTTTTTTCAAAACTCGAACGAAATACTAATTCGTATTGTGGAAATTTAAAAAATGTATATCTTAGAAGATAAAAAATAAAAATATTTTTTTGGTTTTTAAACTTTTTTATCTTTACAGGAAGTAAAAAATAATATAGGGTAACAACTATAATAATTATAAAAATATTATTTCAAAACAGTAAATCAGAACATTGTTGATGATGATATAACTTACTGAGATAAAAAAAAGAGCATCTTTTCTTTTAAAAAAACTCAGAATTGTGTGTAAATCTATAAAGATGTGTATTTTGTCACTATCTAGGGATTTGTGACGAATCATCGTAAGACTTGATAAGTACAATAATTAAAATTGACATAATTTTTTTGGAAAAGAAAACTCTATAGTATGTATAGGTACTTAACATAGAGTAAATTTAATCACTATAAATGTTTTATTATCTAGAAAAAAAAAGGGTTGACACACAATAATATGATTTTTAGTTATTTTATGTACTTTTTTGTTTGTTTGTTTTTTTCGTTTCTTGTACCCGGGTGCATTTAAATTTCACAACGTTCAAATTGTTTTCTAACTGAATTGCTTTTACAGTTACATTTTTATTTATTACAATTTTCGTCAGAGTTTGTAAAAACCAGCATTGTATTATATGTGTATTGTATTGATATGCAAAAATAATAATAACCAAATTATAAAAAAGAGTACGGCCGGTCACCATACAGTGAATATACATGTCATATAGCCAACATAAAAAAATGTAAACACCGCGGGTCTGTATTGCCGTTAAAACGTTTCCCGCCAAAACGGCGGTGCGTACCGCAACAATCAGATCATCGGTGGATTCGTACAAGCAACGACCATGCGCAATCGGATTTCGATTAGCGCGCATGCGCACGAGTCGTCCCGGCCGTCGGCGCTTTGTCGACCGGCCGCACCGGCCGCCATCTTTCGAAAACGGTTTTTTTTTTTTCATTTTATTTTCACTTATTTGATTGCAATTTGCAGCAGCCCCGGTTACAGTCGCTCCGGCTTCAGATGTGTTTGTTGTTTTTTTTTGTATTTTCTTCAACCGAAATAGTTTGAATTTTTTTTGTCACTTTGCAAACGTCTCGCGTGTGGGTTTTTTTTTTTCATTAACACATCCGACCAAGCGACGGCCTGGCAGTTGGTGGTGGCTTGTGGCTCTGTTATCTACACCAGCAGTTGGAAAACAACAATAATAATTATTTTGTCGACCGGTAAACCGCCGTAGTAAATGATTACCGCGTTACCATCAATTGCTGTTGACAGGTAAACCATTTTGCAAAAAACCGTCGCCGTAGTTGTTGCTCAGTTTTGTTTGCACCACTCAAATTATACTTTCCTGTTGCACCGTTTGCTTGCATGTTATTCGGCGGACTGTTGAAATCGATTCCGAGTCGCTTTGGTGTAACTTTCTGTACGTGGATTTTATTCGTTTTAACACCTTGGCCCAGGTTAGGATATTACTCTCCCACTGTTAGAATAATACTCAATATTATGTTGAAAAATAATTTTCTCTTCTGCCCCCCCCCCCCAATTGCTCTGCGAACGGTTTAAGTGATAAATCTGTCGTAAAAGCGGTATATTATTTACATTGTTCGACTTGGCCCTGGGAGACACATACATACTCGAATTTAGCCAACTTTAAAAAAGTTAAAATCGCGTTATAATATTTCTTGCAGACTCGTCTAAAAAAGGGTTTTTAGTTAGTGTTGCCAGAATGGCGACCGTGGAAAATGGAGGTGCCGAACCTTCCGGCAACAAGTCGAAAAAAACCGCTGTGGAAGAGATTTATCAAAAGAAATCTCAGCTCGAACACATATTGCTTCGACCCGATACCTATATTGGTGAGTTTATGATTTTGTAAAAAATAACATATCAATATCAAGTATGGTGTATACAAATATTTGTATAATGTATGTTAATTTGAATTATTCAAATTTAAAGGTTCCGTCGAGCCCGTTACTGAATCTATGTGGGTGTATGATACCGAAGAAAATGTAATGGTTCAAAGAGAAATCACGTATGTCCCTGGATTGTACAAGATATTTGATGAAATATTAGTCAATGCTGCCGACAATAAACAACGTGACTCGTCAATGGATACAATAAAAATTGAAATTAATAAGTGAGTATATTGTATGAGGTTCTTTAAATTTTTGAAAACGTTATCCACTAGGTATAAATTTATTTTTTTAAACTGGCAGTCCACTGTCGGGCTATTACATCAAAAAACATATGATGTATTCGCTGTATTTTACTGCCTATATTAATTTATAGTTATTTCACCTGTTTTACTTTCCAATTTGAAATAATTTGGAAGTAAGCGATTTTTACTATTACATTGCAATTTATGTATTACAGTTGTAATTTTAAAGTACATTTTATGTGAGTTACGAGGGTTAAATGTAGTTATTGTTTCTCTTAATTAGTTACTCTTAAAAAGTTGGTCACAAATGATTTCCTTTCTCTCTGGACAAGAAACCGATGTGAAACTGACACATCGGACAAAGTCTTTCCGTGCTATAACTGTTGATGTATATCAACAAGTATGCTTAAACCAACTTTTTTACTGTCAACCAAAAACTTGGTTGATTTAGAGTAAATTCAACTGATAAAATTAGAAAATATTTGTATATTAGTATTATTAGTATATACTCATATTTTATCAATCTTTAATGACTCGTTATTGAAAAATGAAAAATGATTTTTAGGGATGACAACATTATATCTGTATGGAACAATGGTAAAGGTATTCCTGTAGTTGAACACAAGGACGAAAAAATGTATGTCCCCACGATGATATTTGGACACTTGTTGACTAGTTCAAATTACAATGACGAAGAAGCTAAAGTAACTGGTGGTAGAAATGGATTTGGCGCTAAACTTTGTAATATATTCAGTAACAAGTTCACTGTAGAGACGGCTAGTCGTGAATACCACAAAGCTTTCAAACAGGTAATTTGTTTTTAAACTGTTTACACTGTGTTATAGTAACAAGCTATATAATTGTATGTTTAGACATGGGCTAATAATATGGCAAAATCATCAGACCCAAATGTCAAAGAAGTCAAAACTAGCGATTTCACGAAAGTAACATTTAGTCCGGATTTGACAAAGTTCAGAATGACGTGTCTCGACAAAGACATTGTGGACTTGATGTCGCGCCGCGCGTACGACGTTGCCGCTTCAACTCGAGGAGTAAAAGTATATCTAAACGGAAAAATGCTGCCCGTAAGTTTTAAAGGATTTTTTTTTACAAATTTTACACAATAAGAAATGTTGAAAAACTTGAATATGTTTTTTAGATTAAAAGTTTCCAAGATTACGTTAGTTTGTACATCAAAGGAAAGGAAGACGAATTGGGAAATCCTTTGAAATTGGTCTATGAAAATGCAGGCGCACGGTGGGAAGTTGCCGTTACTTTATCAGACACAGGGTTTAAACAAGTTTCGTTCGTCAACAGTATTGCTACGACTAAAGTAAATACATCATCAATCATAGTATTGCACACTTTACAGCGTGCTGGGCGGGAAACATGTAACAATCGTTTTTGGTTAATATTAATTAAATAAAAAAATGTCTACAGGGAGGAAGACACGTTGACTACATTACAGACATGATTGTCAAACAACTAATAGATATTGTTAAAAAGCGTAATAAGGGCGGTATGGATTTGAAAAACCACCAAGTAAAAAATCATCTTTGGGTGTTCGTCAATTGTCTTATTGTAAATCCTACTTTTGATTCACAAACCAAAGAGCACATGACTTTGCAAGTCAAGAGTTTTGGTTCGAGATGTTCATTGAGTGAGAAGTTTGTGACTGCTGTAAGTTTTTGTTATTATTTTTATAAATATTAAGTTTAAGCCGACGTATAATTCAATTTGATTTATAGGTGTCAAAATGTGGCATCGTTGAAGCTGTTCTTAGCTGGGCTAAATTTAAAGCTCAGACTCAACTTCAAAAACAGAGTGGTAAAAAGCAAAGCAAGCTCAAGGGTGTACCGAAATTGGAGGATGCCAATGACGCTGGTACTAGAAATTCGATAGACTGTACTCTTATATTGACTGAGGGAGATTCGGCTAAATCTTTGGCCGTGTCCGGCCTCGGTGTTGTTGGTCGCGACAAGTTTGGCGTGTTTCCGCTCAGAGGTAAACTGTTGAACGTGCGAGAGGCTTCTCACAAACAAGTAATTAATTTGTAATAATATAATGTAGGTATTTATATATTTTTAAATATAAAATGACTTGCATTTAAATTTAGATTATGGAAAACGCTGAAATCAATAACATAGTGAAAATCGTGGGATTGCAGTACAAGAAAAAATACGAAACCATGGAAGATCTGAAGACTTTGAGATACGGAAGGTTAATGATTATGACTGATCAGGATCAGGTAAAATGGGATAGAAATGTTTTTTTTAAATTTCGGATACTCCGATAACGAATAGTATGTATAAAACCATTTGTCACTTAATGTATAATAAGATATAAATTATATGGTTTGATGTATAATTAGGATGGATCGCATATTAAAGGATTAATCATCAATTTCATACATCACAATTGGCCATCGTTATTGAAATTGCCGTTTTTGGAAGAATTCATTACCCCTATTGTAAAAGCTACCAAAGGCAAAGAAGAAATGTCTTTTTATTCGCTGCCCGAATTCGAGGAATGGAAAGAAGCGACAAGAAATTGGAATAAGTACAAGATCAAGTACTACAAGGGGTTGGGTACCTCTACGTCTAAGGAGGCGAAAGAATATTTCCAAAACATGAGGCGGCACAGAATTTTGTTCAAATACGACGGTGCACACGACGACGAGCACATCGAAATGGTATTGATTTTACAAATTTTTTCATTATTTAGTAGGTATACGAATAACAGTAATATTATACAGTGTGCAATTTGACGTAGGCATTTAGTAAGAAAATGGTTGATGCTCGTAAAGAGTGGTTAACCAACTGGATGGTCGAAAGCAAAAGGCGTAAGGAAGCGGGTTTGTCGGAAGAGTATTTATATGAAAAGAACACCACTACGGTTACCTACAAAGACTTTGTAAACAAAGAACTAGTATTATTCAGTAATATGGACAACGAAAGGTCTATCGCTTCAGTAGTTGATGGTCTGAAGCCGGGTTCTAGAAAAGTATGTTTTGTTTGGTTATTTTATTATTCCTATTATCTGTAATGGTTTTACATATGTTTTTACTGTTCTTATTTAACTCCATTAGGTGTTGTTCACTTGCCTGAAGAGAAATGACAAGAGAGAAATTAAAGTGGCTCAGTTGGCTGGATCTGTGGCCGAACATTCTGCCTACCATCACGGCGAGACGTCTCTGATGTCCACCATTGTTAATTTGGCGCAAAACTACGTCGGAAGTAATAACCTTAATTTGCTGCAACCCATTGGTCAGTTTGGAACCAGACTTCAAGGCGGAAAAGACGCAGCCAGTCCCAGATATATTTTCACACTGTTGAGGTTTGTATACTACTGTTAAATATTTATTGAAAGGTATGAAAGGTTAACGGTAATAGTTATTTTTTGTTTATTATTTTAGTCCGTTGACTCGATTAATATTTCATCCTCACGACGATCCGTTACTGACATATCTTCGAGACGATAACCAAAGAATCGAACCTGTTTGGTACATGCCAATTATTCCAATGGTTTTGGTGAACGGAGCTGAAGGTATTGGTACTGGTTGGATGACGAAAATACCGAATCATAACCCGAGAGAAGTGGTTGCCAATTTAAAACGAATGATAAATGGGGAAGAACCTTTAGCGATGGTGATTAAAAAAAAATAATAATATTGTTGTTGTCAAATTATAAACGTTTTCATTTATTCCCTTTTAGAAACCGTGGTATAAAAACTTCAACGGTCTCATTGAAAAATTGTCCGATCATAAATTCATCAGTAGCGGTGAAGTGGGCATTATTGGACATAACAGAGTGGAAATAACCGAGTTACCAGTCGGCGTTTGGACTCAGAATTACAAAGAAGGCGTATTGGAAGCTATGTTGGCCGATAGCGAAAAATCACCAGCGGTTATTACGTGAGTACATCTTCTGAGATACATACATACATTTTATACATGACTCTCCGTGACCAACCTGATAATTACTAATGTTGTTATTTTTAGTATTTATAAAATGGACCCTATCCGATTTGAGGGTTAAAAGTTTGTTGTACACCTGATTTTCTACCATTAAAACATACCTGTCAGAATGAGTTTCAATCACTTTGTGATGATTTTAGGGTAAAATTACTTATTACGAAAAGATGACAACATTTTGGAGACAACGTCATATCTTTAACTTTCTTTTATTTAAATAATTACATCTTTGTTTACAAAATCGGATATAAAAATGTTTCTGAAACGGATGATCTTTCGATTTTATAAAAAGTGCTTTTTGCTTTAAAACCACTTTGGACCGAGTAAAACTCATTCATCGTAGCTTTGGTTGGATTAAAAAAATAATTTTAAATCGCTTTTGAGGATGCTTTGATAGTCTCAAAAATAAATTGACTATCAAAAAAGTGTCCTAGTTACTGAACTAATAATTACACATTCCGGTTTAACCTAAAAATCAAAATTTGCAATACCCAACTCCTTAATTAATTATTATAATTTTTGTTTGTTTCATACTAACATTGCCTATATTTTACAGAGACTACAAAGAATATAACACGGATACAACTATAAAGTTTGTTGTAACCATGAACCCGGAAAAGTTGCAAAAAGCTGAAAACGAAGGCATCCATAAGTTTTTCAAACTGCATGCTAGTATTGGTTTGACTTCAATGGTGAGTGCCGTCGTAGTATAATTAAGAGGAGTAAATATTATGTACCTACAACAATTCAAATAAAAGAATTAACTAAATTATGGTTTGTATTATGTAGTGTGCTTTTGACAAAGACTGTGTGCTGAAGAGATACGATACAACTTTGCAAATAATGCGTGAATTTTACACTGTCAGAGTAGAGTTCTATGGCAAACGAAAAGCGTATCTGGAAGGTATGTTGGGTGCAGAAGCAGCCAAACTTACGAATCAGGCACGGTAAGTCTAGGAATTATTTTTAAGATTGTGAGAGAGTTCAAAAGGATATGTTTTAAGAAATATTGTATACCTTTTTTATTTAAAATTTGTCGGTTGTTTCTATGGATAGTTTTATCGTGGAAAAGTGTGATGGTGACTTGCGGATTGAAAATCGTAAGAAGAGCGAAATGATTAAAGAATTGCTCAGGAGAGGTTACAATAGTGACCCTGTTAAAGCTTGGAAACTAATCCAAGACCGTCAATCAGTTATGGTAAGTTAGACATCTAGGTTTAATAGTATATATTTTGGAATAATATATTATCATATTATTTTTATGTGGTCAACAATCATTTTATTTCAATTGACATTTCAGGAAGACGAAGCTGCTGCTAGACTAGCTGAAGAAACTGAAGAAGACGAACCATCAACAGCGAGCACTGCTACTCAGAAGGACGATGAAGATTTGGACTTTGATTATTTGCTTGGTATGTCATTCTGGCATTTGACCATGGAGAAAAAGAATGATCTCCTGAGGAAAAAAGATGAAAAGTGTACAGAGTTGGAAATTTTGAAAAAGAAAACCCCGTCAGATTTATGGGTAGAAGATTTAGACGCTCTCCTTGAAAAGGTAATTGTTATTAGTAAAATACAGTTTTGGTAGTTTATAAAAAATTAGAACTTTAATTTTTTTAGTAGATACACATTTGTTTAGTTTTAATGTTTATGTTATTATGGTTTAGTTGGACGAAGTCGAAGAAAAAGAGAGGCAAGAAGAGTTAGGAGATGGAAAGACAACAAAAGCAGGGCCTAAAAGTAAATTAGCACTTGGAGGTAAGAAAAAATTGCAACTGGCTTCAGATTCGTTGCCGTCGCCAGCAGCAAGACGTATAATCCCTAGAATTGACGAGGAAATGTTGAAGAAGGAGGAAAAACTAATAGCGGCAAAAGAAAACAAAGGAAAACGTGCTGAAAAGAAGGTTGGTTTGTTATAAATATCTCGAGCAGTTTAAATATAGTTGGAATTTGTTTGTTAAAATTTTGTATTGTTTTAATTTTGACTTGAATTTAATTTCTATAAGATTTTTTTTAGTTGTATAATAATGTTGTTCAATGAATAATTTTACAATATTAATTTTATGAATGTTTAATTAGAAAAAAGGTGAAGTTGAAATTGGCGAAGATGGAGAAGTAATTAAAAAAGAAGTGAAAGAAAAGAAAGAAAGAGTTCCTAAGAAGAAAACCGATGGTTTAAAACAAACCAAATTGAAATTTGATAAAAAAGATGACGACGATGGTGATTTGTCAGATTCTCCGCCACCTCCGCCAAGGACAGTTTCTAAACGACAAGCAGGTAAATTAATTATATATTAGCAATAGATAATAATTCTCTAATTAGAATTGATGACAAATTAAACAACCAATTGTTTTATTAGCTGCAAATGTATCTTTCAAGTTTGATGATCTAAGCGGTGAGGACGATGATCTCGAAGAAAAGGTTGACGGCGATGATAACTTTAAAGCTTCTCCGATGCGAGAAATATATTCTGATGCGTAAGTTTTTGTTTACATTTAATAAGCAATTTTTTTTTGCTTATTACGCACATTTATCTTAGTCGAATTAAATTATTAAATATATTGTTAGTTGTAACAATTTTAACTATTGCTTTTATAGAGTTATATCGGATGATGACGACGATGACGAGTTTATTCCAAAAAAGAAAAAGGAATCTCCCAAAAAGGCAGCTGCTAAAAGAGAACCGGCTGCGAAAAAAGCACCGGTCAAAAAGAACGGGGCGGCGGCAGCTCAAAGAGATTCTGGCCAACCGGCGGCCAAACCACCAGCTAAAAGGGCTCCGGCTAAAAAGAAGCCAGTAATTGAAATCAGTGACAATGATTCTGATGTACCGGTTTCAAAACCGGAAAAAAAACCAAGAGCCGCTGCTTTGAAACCCAAACGCAAATACAGTTCTTCAGATTCTGACGATGTGTTCAAATCGCCAACTAACGCTAGTAGTACGTCGGATTACATTGTGTTACTTTTAAATTTTCAATATCTGAATTGTTGTGAAAGTGAATGATGAATAATAAAAATTTTAATATTTATTATTCTCCTCAGGCAAACCTCAAAAGTCTTTTGATGATTTATTTGCGGATACTAATTCTAAAAAAGTGGCTGTGTCTGACGACGACGACGATGATTTTGTTATGTCTGCAGAATCGGATGACGATTTTATGCCAACATGTGAGTAATACATTTGTATTTTTTTCCAACTGCAGTTAGAAGAATTAGTAGGTTAATTTTGCCCGATAACTCGGCAAGATTATTGTTGCAAAACTATTGAGAAAATGTATTTTTTAATTGAAATTTGTTTTTTATTTCTAGCAACGAAAAAGAAGGCGGCGCCGGCTAGTACCAAAAAACCGCCGGCGAAAAAAGCAAAAGCAAAATATGCATTTACTTCTGAAGACTCTGATTAGTTCTTTTTTTGATTTATGCAAATTATCAATCCAGAAACCTCGTTATTTATTAATTTATTCTTAACTGTTTTTTTTTTATACTCTTAACTAAATTTTAATATCTTGATATAATGAATGTTTTTGGTTAATAGTGAATCTTAAAAATGGCAGTCGGTTATTATTATTTTTATTTTTTTTTTTAATGTACAATTTTTTTTTTTATTCTCATCAATGTGTAATTTTGATGTATAATTTAATAACGATAAGCTCGCCGTTTCCAGGTGATTAGTTCATTACGATATTAATATTCAGTTGTATCTTACCACTTTCGATGTTTCACGCTGTAAACACTATGTGGAGAGTGATTTAGATGTATTAACTTTGTTCTTATAGATTTTAAGTTTTCGACAAACTTTACCTGTAGTATTGCTCTAGCTATAGAGTTATGTTTCGTTTTTTTTTTATTAAATTTTAATATTAAGAATCATAAACATTTTTGTACGTTTAATTTTTTTTTTTAATAAAATACAAAATTATATATATATAATATATAAATATTTACGCTGTAACATTATTATAAAACAAAAAATTAGGGATTCTTAAATTAAAAAATTAAACTAGTTTTTACCGACCTGGTAAATCAATCGAACTGAACAATGATAATAAATTACATGTAACATTAATAATATTTTACGCGAATTGTAAGTATAATCACGTGTACCTTTTTCAAAAAAAAAAAAAATGACTGAACTAAACATTTTTCTTCTAGTCATAATTGGAACTTATTAGGTGTTTGTCGAGTTAATCGCAGGCATCGTTCTATTATGTGTAAGGTGTGAGACATTGTTTTTTAATTTGTATGTATTGTGTTATTCGTTTTATAATAATTTAAAATTTTTGCTAAAACTGATAATTTTAACAACAAAGTATGATGATTGAATAGCAGCAACTAACACTCATTTTCTTCTTCTTTATCTTCTAGGTCAAGTCAATATCTGCGGCCGTGCATGTGCCTGTCGGAATGTTTTCCGATGGAGAAGCGGTCGCTGTACTCGTCGTGGTCGGAAGAATGGTGTACAGGTTGCGGTGGATACTTCTCGGTCTTGTAATGGATTTCTGGTGTGGCTCCAAAACTCTTTTGCCAGTGATTGGTCCAGTAGTGGTTTTGCATGGCCACCTCCTTGGGAGTTTTGGCGTCCCTGCACACGGTCACGCAGTAAATGAGACTGCCCATGAGCGTGAGGAATCCAAATATCAGAAACACTATGCCCAATACCCTGTGGAAAACGCACAAAGGAAACCGTTACCGAAGATGATGATGATGTCATATAACAGCAGAGTAAAGTACACTACTACATTATTATGTTGAAACTTTATATTGGGTATATAATTCCAAAAAAAAAAAAAATTGGCAATAAGGAAGAATAAAAATTGTTTGTCGTCGTTTTTGTTACCCATATTATAATTATCTTAATTATCGAGTATAATGAAAATATTTTTTACAAATCTATCGGGCTCTATCGATTCAGTTTAATAAAATTAAAAAGTTTGACTACAGAATTTTGAAGAAAAAAAAATTGTATAATTTGTCATAGACCCATGTTGGATCTAGCTTTCTACTTTCTTGTCTAGTTGCCATGGCTGAAGTTCTATAAGGTTGCTAGAAAAAGAGAAATAAAGGAAAAGTTGCTACCCGGACTAGGTACAAGGTTTTTTTTTTGCTTTTTCTTAATGCATTCTTAGTACACTTAATTTATATGAAGAATATTCCATACAAAGTATTAGTGTATTTGTAGTTGTTATCTCTTATCTCTAAACTCATATCTCTTATCTTATCAGATAAATCATCTGATATTTTCGTTAGGTTTTTCCTGTCGATTTTTTCGGTTGTGTGCCAAAACTATTTCGTTGTTTTATACTTGCTAGGCGATAAAAACATTTTCACAGAATACATTATACATAAAACCCAATAGGTTCAGTTTTATCCATAGATATAATATACTAATACTAGATAGCAGTCTTTGTCATAATCACCCTGGAATTAGTTGAAGCCTCCGCCGCCGCCATATGCAACATAGACACAATCGGTAAACAAACGTTATCAATGATATAACAACACGGGAACGTTCTGTGATAACAACGGGTAAAATTTAAAATTATAAAGGCATAATGTAATTTCATGGACCTCGTAAAAGGTCTATGGGTAATTTATACAAGATGATACAGCCTAATATTGATAACGATTGTTTACCGATTGTGCCTGCATTGCATATGGCGTCAGCTTCACCGATAATTCGAAGACGGCCATCTAGTATTATTATTGTATATCTACGGTTTTATCACAGATAACACATTATAGTCTATAATGGTAATTTTACTCGAAAAATACGGTTTTGACATTTTTGTGTCTTTGCTCTGGCACATAACCGAAAAAAGCGTTACAAAAAAGCAGTCACGCTGTTATCTGATAAGAGATTAGAGATGGGGATGTTAAATTTTTTAAATTATGTTTTAAGTCAAAGAGGAATATCTTTTTTTTTTGGGGGGGGGGGGGGGTTATGGTGTCGGTTTGTCACTTACCACACGAAAAGGGGTTCGAAAAACTGTATGACGATGACAAAGCCCAGAGTGACCAAAATCAGTCCCAGATTGAGCAGCAACATCAGGCAGCACATGCCTTTGGTGTTTGGGCAGAACGGGTTGGGCGCCGACATTGTCTCGATGGTGACGCCGGGCTTGCGGGTGATCTTGGACTTGACCGTGGACACTTCGGACGGTGCCCTGCCGTTGCTGCGGTACGAATAGTGGCTGGGCGCGCCTCTGCTCCGGTTGCTTCTGCTCGTGTAATGCGATCCCCGGCTGCGTAAAATGTCACATATTATTATTTTCAAAAACCACTTTTCGTCGTTCGCCGCCCCAAAAGCCGAACTTGTCTGATTTTCAGCCGATATATTATTTATTATTAATTATATTAACACTCACCTCATTTCTGACGGCGGCCGGTACGCGGCGCTGGTGACGTACACGTCGGAATCGTGATGGCTGCCCGCCGACCGAGCGCGGGAACTGCTGGACGGCCTGTCCAGGCTACGCGATCTCTTGGACCGCGTAGTCCGGTGGCCGCGGGACGACGGCCTGTCCGTGGCGATGGTGTACTCGGACAACGTTCTTTGGCTGTCTTCTCCTGAAAAGCGGATACCATAGCAGTAAGTACATGGGGCATCATAGTATAGTATTAATGGGATTAGGTTGGGTTAGGTTAGGTTGGGTTGGGTTAGGTAGGTTGGGTTAATCATAGACCAAACAGCACCGTACCGATTAAGGGGGATGTAGCGAAACACATTAAGTCCGCCCAGCGATTAATGGCGCTGAGAGTGACGAGGGCATATCGGACAGTATCCTATGAGGCAGTAACGCTCATAGCATCAATGCCTCCCATAAAACTGCTAGCAAAGGAGCGCATAGCAATACGTAATGCCACAGACAAATGTCAGACTGCCAGAGATGCCCGAAAGGACACAATGAAGGAATGGCAAAGAGAATGGGAAAAGGCGGAAAATGGCAGGTGGACGTACACGCTAATCAGCAACATAGAAAAATGGGCAAACAGGAAACATGGCGACTTGGACCACTTCCTCACGCAAGTTCTTACGAATCATGGATGTTTTAACGCCTACCTACATAGGATGAAAAAATTGGAAACTCCGAAGTGCTCCTGGTGTGAGGCTGACACCGACGATGCCAATCACACACTGTTCGTGTGCGACGCTTTTGAAAACTGGCGAAGGGTGCTCGTTGGAGAGATAGGCCACGATCTAACAGCGGCCAACATCGTGGACACCATGTTAGAGTGCAGGAGTAAATGGAACTTGATTGTTTACTATATCAATAAAGTGATGAGGCATAAATGCGATGCCGAAAGACAACAACAGTTATCGACGAGGAATACGCAACTAACAACTTAAAACGGAAAAACGGCAGCCGATGGGTGGCCCGGCGGCCTATACAAGGCGGGGCGAAGGTAAACAGGAAGCGCTTGGCGGCCTCTTCAAGGCGGAGCGGAAGAAAAGCGGAGGCAGAATATTATAGTAACTAAAACTACTATCCAGTTAGAATTATTAATTTGTTGTAGGCCGAATGGCCAAAATTAGTGGAGTAGGGTCCGCTCTATTTTGTAAAATTTAATGTGAAATTGTAAATGTTTGTTTTTTTTCATAAATAAACAATGATAGTGGCCCCTATGTTTTGCGAAAGCAGTTCGGGGGCCGCTATTATTCTTTTGACTACAAAAAAAAAAAAAAAAAAGGTAGGTTGGGTTAGGTAGGTTGGGTTAGGTTAGGTTAGGTTGGGTTGGGTTAGGTCAGGTTTTTTATGGGCAATATTTGAGATGAAAAGAGGTTTTAATCAAATTTCGACCATGTCAATTGATTTACCGGGCAATTTGTATTTATAAGCTTCCAAGTGTTGTTTTTAATTTAAGGGGAACGGAAAGCGCTATTTATTAAGGGGCAAAGAATAGGCAATATTTGACAAAATTTTATCTAGTAGCCGTTTTTAATATGCCGACTAATTTTAAGGTGAAAAAATATTAAGTTTATAGCGAAAGTTTGATAAAAAATTATTTTCGTAAAAGTAATTTTCTGGCGCAGGTATTGGACGGATTGCAATTATTTTTTTTTATGTAAAGCTTATTATTTTTTCTATGGGGGCCGAATTTTGATTTAGCAATTAGAAAATTAGCTGTTAGATTTATTAGAAAAAAAGTAAAAATCTAAATGCTTATACATTTTAGCCCCCATAAAAGAAATATTAAACTTTATAATAAAAACAAAAAAAATTCGGAATCGGTCCGGTAGACACTTCAGAAAGTGACTTGGCGTTTTTTGGCTTTATTTGTAAACAATTTGACGCTTTCCGTTCCTTTTAATATTTTTTTCCACGAGTAAAGGCCATTTTGGTTTATTTTAGACCAAAAAACCAGACGAAATTTCGATGGACAGAATTTCAACTCTGTAAAAAGATTTGAGTTGACTGTATTATGTGAGAAGCCGATTTTCATTTAAAAAATTTCAGTTTATTCCAATGAAATAAATAAAATTTGCAATTTTTTTAATATTTAAACTAGTGTTGTAAATTGGATTCGAATCTTCGAAGGATTCGAATATTCGAATATTTCATTAATTATTCGAATAATTATTCGACTATTCGAATATTCGAATAGTTGAAAAAAAACTATTTGTAAATTAATTATTATTACTACTTGAATATTCGAAGGATTCAAATCCCAATTATTTGAATCCAAACTATTTGATTATTCGAATATAAAAATATTCGAATATTTCCCATCACTAATTTAAACCCAATTTTTTACATAAGAAAAGCAAAAAATAAAAAAACTCTGCTACATAACTTATTAAAGTTGCCAAAGAACTCGTAAATCTCTATAGAATTTAAATCGGACCACCCTTATGTAGTCGACATTTTGTCTGACTTTTTTACAAATCATAGTCTATAAAGTATCTTCTTCTTCTTCGCAGTATGGTTTATGTAAGTAGAGTCATCCCCTCTATTCCCTCAGACTCTATTTTCTATTACACCACCTCTTAAGTAGTTAAACTTAGCCAATCTTCATTGTGTTTAATCATTCTGTGCATTCATTTAAAAATGTTATTTTCGGTTACTTCCATACACCTTTTATCCTTTGTATAAATTGGACATCCAACGTAAACTTCCTTGCAAACATTTCTGAGACCTCATTATAATTATATAGGTAGCATTTTTTTTATACTGAATGAGTCACAACACACCTGGTGTTTGCCCACCATTTCCCCTCATCTCAATCGATCAGGGTTTTTTTACCACGGACTACTAGATAACATCTTATTGTCTTAGCCCGCGGTTTTGCACTTGACTTGATTCAATAGATTCGCATTATAAGCAAGAAAAACTTACCATCGGTAGAGTATCCTCGGTGTTGTACGTACGGCAGCATTTCTGATGACCTATGATGGTGCCTGTTTTCACCGGGTGTGGCCACATAATGATGCTTGCCGACACGCTTGACCATCTTGTCAAATTTCAAATCTTGCCAATTACCACACGTTCAACCTGAAATGATATAGCAATAGTACTTATTAGTAAGGACCATATGAGTGTACCTAATATTGAACTTGGGAAGTTTAAGTTGGAATGCTGTCGATGATCTTTAATTAGAGTGATGCACATTATGCCAAAATAATAGATAGCTAAAATATGTTCACACTAAATCCGCCATGACTGTAATTTGTGTAATTAAAAAAGGCTAGAAAACGCGTCCTGCGGTGTCTGACTTGGAGTCAAACTTGTTTTTGTATATAGTCTGCTAAGGTTTAGATTGGGTATTATGTTAATACAACATTATAATAATGTGTTGCTCTCTTCTTGCACTAAAATACTTGTGCGGTGTATATCGCCGAGGTGACTGCAATGGACCGTAAACGTCATTATTGTCTCCTACTATCGTGTAATGCGATACATTTATAGTGCATCAATAGATTGGTCGAGATTGCTTTTTAATATGATTTTTTTTTCTCTTCACATAACACTGCGCTGAAAATCGATGATTGCCACAGTAGCTGGTATTTACCTAACGGAACTGCGCATGTTCTAGATAAAAATGTATATTGCTACATTGTTGTCTCCCCGACATCCGGTCCGAATATCAAACTGTGATGAACTGTAAACGGTAATAACTAACTTGTATTGGCGAACACCGCTTATAGAAGGTGTGGCTCCTAAGTAATTGCAAATACCAATAAGCATTTCAGAACAGAACCTAACCTAACCGACCAAAGCGTCGAATCGATAGGACAAGAGTGTTGTGATGAGTTTGCAATTTGCTATGAAATTTTAATAATTTAATATAGAGAACTAGTTTGACAGATTATACTTATGGTCATATAGTGTAGTTATTATATATTTTTTTTTAGAAGTAGGGTTTTAGTTAGGTACCGAGACTTTGATTCGGTGTGGCTATTATCTAGGCAAAAATTTGTCCACATACATCTGTGTTTGAATTATTAATTTTCATCATTCCGTTTGTTTGCTATGACTTGGCAAAGATATTACACTTCGCCTTGTCATATGTCTTCGGTTTTCCAAATTCCAGTAGCCCATAAAATTCATACTTATGTAAACAACCAGACATACAATGAAATCATTTTTGAGATAATTATAGACAAGCTGACCTTATCTACCTATTCAAACACAGTGACGGTGACACAAACGATTGTCTTACATCATCAGATGGATTACCCTGTATATTGTATGCGTCTACCTGTATTTACTTAAATATACGTAGTATAATATTATTGTATTGTATTGGAGCAGATTTGCATCACTTTACACTATCTACTAATTGTACTAAAACCTGGCTGCTATTTTAATATTGAACTACGGTTGTAGGTATATATTGTTATATTGCTGATACATTCTTAATAAATAGATACTTGTTTCTGGCCAGTATTTTTTTTTTTATATAGTAACAGTCACCTTTACAACACCAGTCGCAACCTTGAAGGTGTTAATTATTATACGATGACGTTTTATATTAAATATTGCAAATAAAAAATAATAAATCGTATATTTTCCCTTTTATACGGGTTTTTATTGGTTTGTAATCATATGCCATCAAAAACGTAGCCGGAATCTTATTAAAATGTTTAAAACTATATTATTTTGTATTAATTACCTATACAGTCTATTGATTGGCCAACATGTTAAACAACAAGTCATAAGACCTTGTTATATATTTATTATTATTATTAAATAAAAACGTGATCCAACAAAATATTAATTTTAACTTCATTCTACTAATAGGATTCTCCTGTAAACAGAGTTGTATACCGACTTTGATGGTTAGTGAACAAATCGGTATACCAATAAAATATTCTAGAACAATAGCTTGATGTAAGATTAATGACAAAAATTACACTTGGTTTTCGATTTGCTCTATAATTTTCGTCTAAACCATTTTTACGGCTAATATTTCAGACTTCAAGGGCAAATAATCCTAGTCAAACTAAAATGTTAGGTAAATGCTTTATAAGTTTATCTGACTTTCTACTGAGTGTCTATTTTTAAAACTAATGCTATCCAGTGTCGGTTTTTAGCATATATTTTTGACTGAGGTCAATAGTATCTATGAAAAATTCTACATCAACAACAACTCCTGAACAGGAATTTTAAAATTAAAATCTACATTTTACATAAGATAATAATATACTCGATATACGGTTTTACATTATATTTAAATTATAGAATGAAAAATAAAGTGGAAGGGCCTATATTATGTAGTGTTAATCGGTCTACATAGCTGTTGACTAGGACTCTGATTTCCTTAGTAACAATTCTGATACCAGATCGGAAATGCTACGACCAACAGGTTAAGTTTTGCGTTTTTTTACACGTTTTTTATTACCTGAAACACAAAAAAATATCAAATATATGTTGGACAAATATATTACTTACATAATATAGGCACTCAAATTGAAATATATTTAAGAACACATAAGGAGACAATTTTTTTCCTGCTGTGCCTATATTTATTAATATATTTTGATATATTGGTGTTTCTTTTAAATTCGTTTTACATCTATAATCATTAATTTGCAACAATTAAACATCCTCGACATTTATTTGGGTATGTTCTAGCGAACATGGGGCATAATAATTATACGACGGTCCACTTGATAATATGTCAGCTGTAATTTACACAATGTAACACATCAAATAGCAATTAGAATAATGATTTATAAACTATAGTATAATACTAGTAGGTCATCGAGAGACTGATGGCTATGTGTCTGTGTCCTTGGACGAGTATTCTTTTGTAATGTAAATTGCCAGAAGTTCATTTGTATATGCAATGAACTAAGAATACCGCGTGCCAGTCAAATTGGGAATACATCAAACGACGAAAAATACATAGTTTTTTTTTTGAGTTTACAATCTTATCATACTTAAGCGTCTGATCTGCAGAATATTACAATCTAGGCAATGGCGTCACTTGAGAGGGAAAGTTTGAGCTGGGAAAAAAGTAGTAGGTATCGATTATTATCAATTATATATGTTTTACACACGATTATTGTACTTTATTCGGCTACCAAGTAAATTATATTATATTTTAATCTCGGGAGAAAAAAATCGAGTGGAAAATTAGTGTAATCATTTCCTAGTGTTCCGTACACACGATAATTTGTGCCGGCTTTTACATTGTTATGATGTTTTCTTCGACACTCTTTCGGACATATTAGGCACAGTTGTTTTTATGCGGGGCGACCTTGTAGATGTTTGTAAGTACAGATTGGGTTCAACAAAATCGCAAAATACCGTCGTCTTGGCATGGTCTGTCCACCAAATGGTTGTAAGAAAAGCTACATTTTGAAAACCATCTTTGTTCATAATTAAAAAATTCAACAAAATTCTATGTTACTTACCTTTACGATAGCATATTCAAGCAATGTTGCCAACTCTCTAAAACGCACGTGTAAGTAAAAGATTTGAATTGATGCCACTTTGAAAAAAAAAAAAAATATGAGACCCTGAACTAAAAACTATGGGACACATAGTTTATTATAAGGTAGGTACAATGGTGGGGAAAATATTGAAGTATCCAAAAAATCACAATACATTCTGAAAACTAGAGTACATACTTGACTGAATAATTTCGGGTTTTGTTTTTTGTGAATTAACGACAAACATCTGCGACATGTTAAAAACGGTAAATAGGAGAAATAAAAGCTTCCTTAAAACACGAGTCTAGTAAAGGTCAGCGGACTGAAAATTCCATGGTTTCAGAGAATCTCCCCCATATACAAACTGACGGGTTTTTTCTTTACTGGCAAGTTCTTATATTCATCTACTTTTGACCGTCTGTCAAAACACACTGACAAAACATCCGACACGCATATAATATTATATACTTCATTAGTGTTGAACGCTAAATTATGCGCAAGTCTTGAGTACATGCGAATAACAACAACAACAACAACCGACATCTAAGACGGTGGGTGGTTTTCTTATCTCTGTGACAGGTGAAATATTCGCAAACAACTTTACAAGATGAATTATTATTCGATTATTATTTCATTTTTTTTTTTTCACTAGGTCTCACAACGAATTCGTGTATACACATTAGCAACCGCTGCACCGGTGTTTTGGTGGATATTATTATAATTATTATTCATATGCCATGCTGAAATGAAATGAAGATTTAAAACCTTCTAGAGTTTCTTAGACGTCCGCCAATTAAGCTGTACAGCACGACCCGCACTCAATATTAAGCAGTTGGTATTTTAATTTCGACGCAAAAAACAAAAACACCATACACAACACTAACGTGACAAGACAATTAGGTAGGATTTAGTAAATCTTAGTACAACGTTATACTAGAACGGAAGTGACTTTTAAACATTTCATACCTTTGTGTTACCTACTTTTACGTCTTTAAAATACAAATTTTTTGTTTAAAATACACTCGAGAGTGACTCACGACTAAATGCAAATAAAATCAATCTATTTGAATACCTTTTAACTAACCATAAACATTTGGCCGATAATATACACTATTGAATAACTATTTTTCCGTGCGAAGCTGAGAAGTGAATTTGTTTTGCCAAATTATTTATAATTTTGTATAAAAAGGTTTTTAAACATAATCAAAAAAAAAAAATACAAGAAACAGAATCGTGGAGATATTTTTCAAATTTTAAGTTGATGATAAATCTATTAAACAAAACTAACGGATTGCGCAAATCATTATATAGGGGCCTATAGGTCTTTTTAGAACACTATTATTGGCCCAAACACGGTTTATGGAACCATTAAAATTATGTGCAGCCAGCATTGGGCAAGTATTATGTAATTTAAAATTATTTTCAAGAAAATATATTCACATATTAAAATACATATGTAATAGTTTTGTCTAGATGATTAGTTAGTTAGGTTAGGTAAGCATGTAGGTAGGTAGCTTGGTGAGGTTTGTAAGCACCCATCGCGGAGTATATAGTAATTTATGAAGATTTTATTATAATTTCTCAGTCGTTATTTAAAGCAAAGGAAAATTATTG